CCGCCGTTGGCGGCGACAAGGGCGGCCGGGTCCTGTAGTGTGGGGGGTTTGGGTGGGTTGAAGGTGGTTGTCAGAGGCAGTGGGGGCCGGCTGCATGAGAGTGATTTAATATGGAGTCTGTTGCTTTGCAGACGAGATGAGATTCGACACACTTCGGTTCCTCCCGCTGATCTCGACTAATCTTGGCTGATCTTCGCTGATCTCCTAAAGCAGCAGCGCCAGGCCCATGCAGAGGGGCGTGCCGGCGCGTCTCTTGCAGCAGCGGCGGCTCACGTAGAGTGTGTGGCTGGTGTGGGCGGAGACGTGCACGCCCGCCGCCTGCGCCAGCTGCGCCACGGTTGCGTCGCGTGCCTTGGCGTACGGCTCCACGTCCGCCTCGAAGCACAGCTGGGAGATCTGTCGATTACGGGTAACGGTCGCACGCGAAAGCGGACGTGGTCAGTTGCGGGCGTAAAGTTGCGCGGGTGGGTGAGCACAGATGGCAGGCGGGTGCGCGTGGATGGCAGTAGGGGCCGAGCGCCAGGGGCCGGCAGCCAGGTGATTTGGCTCGCAAAGCGAGGGGTCTGACCCTGCCCGTGCTCGACGGTGGTCTTCCACACCTGCCAGTCCTTGAAGACACGCGGGAGAACCTCATCAGGCTTGCCCCTCAGCACGAGCAGCCGGCTGCCGCGCGCGCGGAGGCTGTTGGCGACGGCAGGGGTGGAGTCGGGTAGGGGTGTGGGCGTGTCAGAGCGGCGAGTGTGGGTGCAGCGAGACAGGTGCGACGACCCTGGCTGCAAAACTTGGGCGATGCATACTCGGCCGCAGCAGCTGCTGCATAGCTCTGGGAACGGGCCTCCCTAGCGGCGCACACGGCTGCCACGCATGCCCTCCCCGCTGCTGCGCGCCGCTCGCGACGGGGCACCTGCGGTCCAGGTCAGCCAGGCTCTCCAGCAGGAAGCTGTAGCGGTTGACCCCGACCCTGGCAGTGGTGGGGGCAGTGACAGTCAGTGAATGGGTGAGTGAACGAGACACGAGCTTGCGAGGAGATGGGGTCCGCACTGTGCAGCACCGGAGAATCTCGCATCTGCCTGCCGTGGCTGCCAATTGCATGCGCGGCGGTCGTGTCGGGCGCTCGCACTTGTAGTTGCTGCTCTGGAGGAAGTTTGGGTCGATGATGAAGATCGGGTACACGCGCTGGGCGCCCTCGCACGCCGCGAGCAGGGCGGGGTTGTCGTGCAGGCGCAGGCCCTGTGGTTTTGTCGGTGTGGGGGGTTTGCGTTGCTCAAAAGGGCGGAGGGACCCTGAGCATGTTGTGGCCAGGGCCATGGAGGTCTGACATACGATATGACATTCCTTCCACCATGGCGCATTGCTGTGAGGCCGTAAGGAGCTGCTGCCGGCGGCAGGCGGTGGGAGCCTGTGATGGCTCACTGCCACTTGGGAACGTGGGCTTGCCCCACCCACACAACCGCACCCGGCTGGCGCTTTGGCTCAGGGGGCACCGTGCCATCGATACAAGCTAAGGAAATAATGGTGTGGGCTTCAGAGTCCGTACCTTGCGGAACCATACGACTGCATTCTTTGTGCCCGCCATTGCTGCCACGCAGCGAAGCGACCGCCGCTCAAGCGCGGTACCCGCGACACCGCTCAGAAGTGAAGCGCGTGCCGCAGGCCGTGAACGCCTGCGCAAGTGTTCAGATACGATGGTAGCACGGCTGTACACGGCTCTTGAGAGCGCCAGGGCTCAAGCCGTGCCGAGTTTCTCAGCTGCCACACAATCGAAATCGCCCTTGACTGGTCGTGAAGCCAATGGTGCTGTGAAATATGTCCTCTGATTGTGGTTACAATTGTTTGAGTTGATGTCCGCAGCTTCAGCTGCGACCCGCGACAAAGTTGTCTTGAATGATTGAATTAGATCTGGCGCCAGCTGCCGGCAGACTCCACAGATTCACCCATTTGATGGTGATATGAAGTCATCAACACAATAATCGATTGCTGACAAGCTGCTTGGCAGGATGCCTGACGGCAAATGGTCTTGCGTCCGGCCGGCCGGTGTCAACGGCCTTGACCCACTGTTGCAAACCTCACAGTTTGCAGTGGCCTAGTTACGCAGCATCAAGACTGAAGCAGAGAGCTTGAAACAAGGGTATACTCCGCCTGACTGCAGGAGCCTCGCAACTATGATCGCCACACCAATGAAGTCGGCGTGGTTCATACTGATACTGCTAGTGTAGCGGTCGCGCGCGCTCCACCAATCTGGTTTGATTATGCAAGCTGCACATCGCATACAGGACATTCAGGGACCTCAGCACGGCTCACTGCTCGCCTTCCTGGCTTTCGTGGCAGGCGGGCTGGTGACATGCCAGGGGACAAGCATTCGTGGCTGAGGCGCGTGAACTCAACAGCACCACACAGCAAGCTCAGGATCCGCGCTGTTTGTGTGCAAGGCATTCACCGCCCTTTGCAAGACGCACTCAGCCAGTCGGATGAACAGAAGTTGAGGTGGAGGGCTTACTGTCCCTTAAGGCATGGGTGCCCAAGGGCCATCGAAAGGGGGCCAGCTTTCATCTCTTATGTCCCTGCACCTCCTCTGCTGGCTGCCTTGATGACCGTCAGGCCAGAGCTGCCAGGTGAACTTTGTTACAGCTGCGCACAAAGGGACCCGCCGGCCCTGGTCGCTGAGCAAGTTGGAGCGCGCAGCGCGGCGATAGACATCATGAAGGGGGGGGCTGCTTGGGAGCTCTGTGAGCCAGGTGTCCCCCGTGCGACATACAGCGTTCACAGATTTTTTGCAGAGAGGCTACCAACATTCCAACCAGCCCAGCACCACCCAAACATGTTGGGATGCAGCCGCGCAAACCCATCGGGCCATGACGATCCCGGCCCTCAATGATGCGCTCGAGGGCAATGCAGCAGGGCCTGCAAGGACTTACTGGCAAGACCAGCAGGCTTGCAGCAGTGCGGGTTGCAGGCCCGCAGGCAACCAGCAGTGCTCCCATCATCCCCGTTGGTAAGCGGTGGGAGCCGGGGGCAATATGCAACACCCGATCATGAGGCGCGAGGTCTGCCGCCCTGATGGGCCCCACACGTTGTCACATAGCAGCAGCGGAGATCGCATCAGGAGGCGCAAGAACCAGATGTCGCAGCCCCTCAAGGTTTGACGCCGGGAACGTGCATCCAACACGCGGCGCCGCTGAGCAACGCTGCGGCGATCATGACAAATGCAGGCGCCGCCAGGTTTGAGCTTGCGGCCGTCAAGGCGACGGCCAGGAGGGGCGCGAGGCTGCCAGCAAAGGCGCCGGCTAGGGCGTACGCCACATTGAGGCAGGTGACACGCGCCTGGAAAACATCATGAAGTTTGGGGATGGACGGCGAGCAGGAGAGGCGAGGTTTGCTGACTGCGTGCGTGCCAGCAAACAAGGTATGTTGTCAACGGCACACAATATGGCGCCCAGAATTACTGCTCAGAACATTTGAGCATGCTTTGTCAGGACCACCCCAAAGCTGCCCCCGCTCACCCCTTTCGGCAGCGCTGCCACCTCTGCCTGCACTGCTGCCCCTTGCACCGTCCCCGCCACCGCTACCAGCAGCAGCTGCCCAACCCACGCCGCCGCCGGACGCCCGCTGCCCCCGCCAGCCAGCATCCACAGGGGGTAGCCGAGCGCAGCTGCCGCGCCACAGCCGCCCAGCAGCACGGGCCGGGGCCCGGCGGGGCGGCCTGCCAGCCACCCGCCGAGAAGGATCGCGGGCGTCAGGACGAGCAAGTTGGCGCATTGGATGACGAGAGTCACGGGGGGCGCCATTGAGGCGAGGCCCGAGAGGAATGCGGGGGGCATGACGGCGATCAGGTAGAAGGAGGCTGCCGGGAAGGCGGCCATCGCAGCCACTGCCAGGATGCGGGTCCACTCCAGCCTGCGGAGGCGCCGGGTGGAGGCGCAGGCGGCGCAGTCGGCGGCGACAACAATGTTTGATGAGTCATCGCGTCCGCGCATGCGTCACGAGAGCAGCCGCTGCGCCCGTCGCATGCGTCGGCACTCCGAGACCCGTAGCCGCGGGGCGCGCGAGCACCGCCGAACAGCACCTGTTGGCGACCCCCGCACCTCAGCACGTGCGCCAGCCCCACGCCGCGCCGGTCCGCCAGCTCGGCCGCGCCCAACCCCTCCTCAGGGTCCCGCAGCACCAGCAGCCGCAGCGCCAGCGACGCGCCCTCCACCGCCAGGCCCGCGACGAGCGGCACGCGCCACCCCCACGCCGCGAGCGCCGCGGCGCCGAGCACCCAGGTTACGAACAGGCAGACGACCGCGGCCGCGAGCGCGCCGAGCGCCGCGGTCGCGGGGACGGCGGCGGCGTGGAGGCCGAGTTGGAGGGGGGCCCGCTCTGCCAGGTGGATCGCAGGGCCAGCAAGGTCTGCGCCGAGGGCGACGCCCTGGACCAAGCGCAGCGCGGCGGCGAATGCGATGCCCACAAAGCCTGCCTGCAGTGAGAGGGGTTGCGCCATGCGTTGTAAGGCGGGGGCTTCGCTTGCATTTCTCGTGTGAGCGCGACCCCCGCCGCCGCAATCCATGTAGGTACAGCAATGCACACCTTGCAAGCAGTACAAGCATCACAAGATATTTTGTCACAAACGCTTGCACACAATGGCTTGCAAACATGGGCGCACGCACCCACACCCACACCCACACCCCCTCACGCGTGCGCGTGCAATTTCGTCCAGGTCCCCACCTGCTGGTACGTCGGCATCGACCCTATAAGCGCGGCCGGGAACGCCGACAGCGCCGCCGCCCAGCAGGCGGCCGCGGGCCGGCCGCCTCGCGCCCGGACGGCCGGCCACAGCAGCGCGCCGACGGGCCGCAGGAGGTGGCCTGGCGCGTGGCCGCGTGCAGCCGGCGGTTGCAGGAGGTCGCCACACTAAGCCACAAGTTTGCTGTTTGGCAAACGCATGCAACAATTCATTGGCGTCCTCCCTTCACAACATTCTAGTGGAAGCCTATCCTGGAGACTAGGCCGTGCCTCACCAGCTGCGAAGAGGGCAAAGACCACCAGCAGCTGCCGCGCCGCTGACGCGCCAGCCGGCAGGAACGCCGCGCCGACCTGCGCCCCCATCAGCGCGAATGCGGTGTTGGAGTACCACTGGGCGCCGTTGGCCGCCAGCGCGTGCAGCGCCACCCCCGTGGCCTGGGATCGCTGCAGGTGTGGGGAGCGGGGTGCCTGGGTGGGAGGGGAGGGGAGGGAGGCGGACGAAGAGACGGAGGATGTCGGTATTTGTAAGAGCGGGGTACTGTCAGGGTTTTGGGCTGCGTGCGGATGCGGATGCGTCCCCTGGCAAATGCGGCACGGGGCCATCCCCTCGGCTGCAAGACTGCAGCAGTCACCTGCTTGTGGTGTGTGGCACCACACCGCCCCGCACCTGTTCCGATGCAAGCGCGTTGACAAGCGTGTCGGCGATGTGGCGCGACACCATCAGGGGCGCCGAGTCGTCGTCGTCGCCCTCCGCATAAGCAGGCATGCCCACCAGCGTCCGCCCAGCACCATCCCAGGTGTATTGAACCTCGCGGCTGTCATCCACACCCTTCGCCACGGGGTGCACCAGTGGCTGCTGCTGCTGCTGCTGCTGCTGCTGGGTGTACAGCGCGCTTGCTGCAAGCCGCCCAGACCCTGCTCTGCGTACGAGCCCAGGGGCCTCCGCGCCGACCAGCGCGCCGCTTCCGCCGCCGTTGCTGACGGCACCCGCTTCCTCGGCGCCATCAAGCGCTGCACTGACGCGCAGCGGCGTTTCCCCCGCCGCAGCTGCGCCCTTGTCGGAGGTGTGGCCGGATCTCCCGCTATTGCTGGGCCCGCCAGGAAAGTGGGACACGGCAATCCTGCTGCCTTCACAATGCTGCTGCTGCTGCTGCTGCTGCTGCTGTTGCGGGGCCCGCTGGAACCAGGACCGCAGGCCCCCTGGTGCCGCTGTTTGCCGTGCCCCGGCGACGGCTGCGTCATCAGTGGCGCCGTCCGCGTCTGCTGCCGGCGATATCTCGTGGATACTCACGCCGCCAAACGGCTGCGCCTGCGAGCCCCACGCCCCCCGCTGCGCCCGCTGCTGCAGCTCCGCCGCCGACGCGGCGGCGAGCGCATGCGCGTCCGCGTGCGCCTGCTCCGCGGCACGTTCCCGCTCCAGCTGCGCCGCCGGCGCCCCCATGATGCCCAACGCCTCGAGCCGCTGCACCGCGCCCCTCGGCCCCGCCTGCTCTCGTGCCGCGAGGCCGTCGCCAAGCCCGAGGCAGAAGCCCGCGGCCGACGCGCGGCAGGCCGCGTCGAAGAGCAGGGACGGGCGAGACTGCTCCTGGGGGTCTGAGGGATCCACATGCGTGCCGATGCGGGCGCTGCCGACCTCCTCCTCAGCGTCGCACCCGCCGCGGCTCAAGGCGTCCAGTGGCCTGAGGAAGAACGACCCGAAGCCATCGAAAAATGGGTTGGGCTTCGCGCCCCCGGGAAGCGCCCCGGCGATGCTGTCGCCGCTCCCCTTGCCGGCCGCGGGCAGCTGCTGTGTGGCCGCCTCCGCAGGCTGCTCACGCCGCTCTCCAAGCTCGCAAGCCCCGGCCGCGCCCGCCGCCAGATCGGCGCCCACGCCCCCGTACAGCCCCGCCGACACGTGCGCGAGGTTGGAGGTGGCCCCAGTTGCCCCCTTGGGCGCAGCGCTCGCCGCCGGCGTGCCTGAAGCGCTGCCTGGGCGGCTCCCGCTGCCGCTGCCGCTGCCGTCGCCGCCGCCGCCGCCGAACGGGAACGCAGGGCACGTAAAGCTGTCAACTGACGACAGGGCGAACGAGTCCGCCGCCCTTCGCATGAGGCCGCCCCCGAGCGCCCCGCCTCCAAAGACCGCAGCCTCTCTCCCTGAGGCCGCGCCCTCGGAAGGCGCCTCGGGCCCTCGGCCGCCGCCCGCCGCCGCCCCTGACGCCAGGGGTTCCATCTCGCACTCACGCCCGTGCAGGGGCCCATTGCTGTCGGCCGCGCCGCTGACACTGCTGAGCTGGGCCTCAACGGAGCTGTCAACCGGCGCAGCCTCCACCGCCTCCTGCAGCGGCCCAGATGCACCTTGAGGTGCCCCCCGGAACCCCCACTCGCCAGCGCCTGGCCGCCCGTCCGAACCTGCCGCCCCGCCGACCCGGCCGGGCGCTGCGCCACTGCCGCGGGCTGGCAAACCGTCAAAGGACACGCGCGGGGTCGCTCGGCTGCCCACTGCCGCCGCCGCCGCCGCCGCCGCCACCGCCGCAGCAGCAGCACCGGCGCCTTCGTCCGCGAGCGTCGTGCTGACATCAGCATCCGCGCCACCCCAGCCCGCAGCTGCAGCTTCCCAAGCAACGCCGGCGACCTGCAACCCGCTGGAGCGGCGGCGCAGCTCCTGCGTGTGTGTGCGCGTGTGCAGTGATGCAGGGGCAGCACGCTTTGTCAGGTGCACATACGCGCGCGTCTTCTCCAATCAACGGCGAGTGCCGATTTTGCGCATGAGAGCAGGACACAACGCGCGCGCACAACCCGGCAGCAACTGCGGCGTCAGCGCTGCCGGGGACCTCGCTCACGACATCAGCGCGCGCACCTGCCCAGGCGGCGGCACCGGCTCCGGCGCGTCCTCCTCAAACCCGCTCAGCCCAAACCCGTCGCTGTCCGGCGTCCCGCGCCCCGACCCCGCCGCCGCGCGGCTGGCACGGCGGCTGGGGATCCCGCCGGGCGCGGTCTGCGCGCGTGGGACGACGTCAGGGTCCGCGTCACCCGCGGCTGCGGCCGCCAGTGCGGCGCCGTGCTCTTGGTCTGGCGGCAGGCGGCCTGGGAGGGGGGAGTGGGCGGGCGCGAGAGGCGGAGACACCGGGCGCATCGAGCCAGGCGCCAGCGCGACCGCGGCCGTGCTAAAGAAATTGCGCCGTGCAACCCAACGGGCGCGCCGCCGCCGGCGCGGGGCTGCGCGGCCGCTGCGGCGGCAGCCCGCTGCCTCGCAAGCGTGGAGGTTTTGGGGACGCGCGCACCTGAGAGCGTCCGGCTGGTGCGGTGGCTGCCCGGGCCGGGCACGTGCAGCGGCGCGCCTGGAACGTAGGGCTCCTCGCCAGCAGCCGCCAGCCCAAAGCCGCCGCCCACGCCTTGATCCGCGGCGCTGCCACGGGCCGAAGCCGTCCGGCTCGCCCGCCTGCTGCCCGCGGCCGACGGCGCCGCCGCGCCGCCAGCCGAGGCGCCGCGCGGCGGCGCCGCGGCTGGGCCGTCGGCGGGCAAGTTGCGGGCCGAGGTGCGGCTCGCGCGGCGGCTGCTGAGGGGCTGCGCGTCCGCCATCAGGCGGTCGCCAGTGGCGGAGAGCTCCTGCACAGGCGAGAGTGGAGCGGCGGTCCTTGCCGCCTCTGCTCTGGCCATCTACTGCGCATGTTGCTGATTCATGCTCTTTGACCTGGTCAAGACCCTCTTGGCGGCGTGTTCAGTGCACACCCTGCCCCTGCCACCCGCAACCCAACGCAGGCGCGTCGCAGCAAAGCAAGGGCGCCCCGCAGCCGTCGCGCCCCCACCTGGTCGATCGTGGCGCGGCTGACCCGCCCAGAGCTCCGCCCCGACGCCGGCCGCGGCCCCACGTCGGGCGCCCCGTCGTCCGCGGCGCTGCTTGCACCGAGGCCGTACTCAGAGCTGCTCTCCCCAGCCAGCAGGCCCACCGCGTCCGCGTCGACCTCCGCGATGCCATCCTCTGCGTCCGCGAACGCCGACGCGATCGGGAGGTCGCTGTCGCCCCCGACCACCGCCGGCAGCAGCGCCGCTGCGCCGCGCGCCGTCCCCTCGTCGTCCTGCTGCTGCTCCTCCTCCTCCTCCTCCTGCTGCTGCTGCTGCTCTTGCGGCTGCGGCCCCAGCTGCGGGTGCTCTTCAGGCTGCTCATGCTCTGTGCCAGAAGGCGGCGCCTTGTCCTCGGAGATCATGCGCGAGATCTCCTGGAAGTTCGCCATACGCCGCATCAGCGCGGCGCCCAGGGACCCGCCGCCCGCCTGGCTGGCCCCGGGCTGCTGGTGCCGCTGCTTGGGCGTGGACGGGCCGCCCTGGGGCGTGCCGCCCTTGACGGGCGTGCCCCAGTAGCCGCCGCCGTCGCTGCCATCGACAAAGTCGGGCCTGTCATACCAGGCCGGCGCCGCGCCGACGGCTGGTGCGTCTATGGCTTGCAGGTGCTCCTGATGCTGCCGTTGCTGCCGTTCCTGTTCGTCTTCCTCATCCTCCTCCTGCTGCAGCTGCTGCTGGTGGCCTGCGTCCCCCTGCTCCTGCGCCTTGCCCTGCTGCCCGCCAGGCTGCTCCAGCTGCAAGCCTTGCGGCACGTCCAGGCCCACATTGTCCGGCCGCCCCTGGCCGCGGCCGCCGCCCTCACACTGCGGCTGGCCTGCCACGGCGCCGGTGCCGCCGCGTCCACCACCTCCGACAGAGCCGCCGTCGCAGCTACCGGTGCGCCACGCAGCGGCCCCCGGCGCGCCGGGCTCCGCTGCCAGCGAGGATGCGCGGCGGCTGAGGATGCTGACAGGCACAACCGCCTCAAACGCGTCGTCGTTGCCGGTGGTGGAGAAGCGGGCGCCCACCAGATCAGACAGCTGCTCCGACACGGCCGACGCCTGCGCGCTCAGGCGCGCCGGCAGCGGTGACGGCGCCGCGGCTGCAGCGCCGCCGTCGTCTTGCGACGCTCGCTTGTCAGCGCGGCCGTCCCCCGTGGCTGCGGTGGGCGCTGCGCCGCCCTCGCCTGCAGGAGCTGTGCTGACGACTTCTGACGAGTATGCCGGGGGTAGCGGGACGCGCGTGCAGCGCGTGACCCTCAGGACCAGCTGCTCCCCCTCCTCCGCCTCGACGGTGAATTGGTGGAACTGCACTGCGAAGCGCTCGGCAGCGCCCGCGATTATGTAGCAGCCGGCGTCCTTGCAGAACTCTTCGATCGCGCCATCCTGGAACGCTGCGCCCTCGGCATCCCTGCCGTTGGTAGGTGCCGGCGCATGCAGTATGCGGGGTCGCTCGCGGACGGGCGTGCGTGTGCACGTGAGCCATCACGCCACCCAGTCGCTCGCCCACATGCGCTGATTGGTCTTGCGCTCACAGAGATGCGAACGCAAACGCACAAGCTATCGTCCTTACCATACAGAGACCTTCAGGCCGTGGAGCACGTTCTTGCTGAGCACCAGGCGTGCCAGCGCTGCCATGGCGTTCGGCGGCGTTGGTGTCTGCTGCGCGGTTTGACTTGTCCTGCGCTTGTGCACTCTCAGGGTCCAAGCTGGATTCCCAGAGGTCCCGCAGGTATTACTAGCACGTCATTAACATGGCTTCTATGGTATTTGCTCATTCGAGTAGGCCCTTGTTGCGCGGGCGACGCTCGCTGCAACTCCGCGACGGCCACCTCTCAGCGGCGTCATATGGGTATTAGCAAGTTGTTGATACAACAACACACCAACGACGCCTGGTGATCGATCTGGGCTATTACAGTGATCTTGCAGTTTTTGTTTTTGCAAGAACGCATGCAGGAAGCTTATGATGTGTGCGTGATTGTAAGGCCAAGTGCTGGTATGGTATGCTCTTGCCTGCCGTGTGTCTGCCGGGGTTGAAGGGTCAGCTGTCAGCATCAACCGAACGTGCTGCACAATCCTTTCGCGTCACCCCTGTATGATCGATGGTGCTGCACACAACCGTACGCATGTGCCTATAATAGTCAATCTACAGAGTGTGTGCATGAGAGTGTGAGTGAGTGTGTATGACAATGCAGATACCGGTGCGTGTGTTTGCCAGTGGTGCAATGAGGGGGCTCAAGTGGGGTCTTCGGGACACAGCTGCTGGGATGCACTCACTGTCTGGGACGCGCGCCACCTGCTCTCGCAACAGTGACTGTGGTCCAGTCTCAGCGAGGTTTCCGCGATGCTTGCCTGTCCGCCCGGGCAAGCAGGGCAAGCAGGCGGGCGTGGGCTTGCACTGCAGATTGATGGTGTGGAATGTTCAGCGTGCGATACTACCGTGTTCGAGCTGGTCAATAAGCACTGTACAAGATTCTTGTTGACAAACAAAGTGACAAAGCTTGGCTGGAGGTTTGAACGACTAACAGCAGCATGCAACGTGTTCCTGCGCTTGTGCTCATGTATCATACAGCGCTGGAAGCGTAACCCTTCCCCCAAAAGGGTCAACTTTTCTGCGCGTTACCTGTGGCGGAGCCGACGCGTGTGCAGCAAAGACATCTTCAGGGGTTCGTCTTAATTCATATCGTGGACCCGTAGCGGGCAGCAGGGGCTCCGTCGCGTGATGGTGTTGGTCTGGTCTTGTAGGCCGACGAGGGACCGTGCGTCCTCCAGGTCAGCTAGCTGGATGCCGTGATGAAAGCCGCAAGCTCTTGCACCATATCGGTGTTTGATGTGCTACAGTATCATATGGTACGATGCCTGCTCCGTCAAAAGGGCGGTGTGGACTGTGACCGGCATGCAGTGTCCAGCGCAGATGCGCAGTACCACATCATTGGCTGCGGATAATCACACTGACGCGTCACATTCGTGTTTGTTGCCACCCTTCGACTGGTTGCAAGATCTGCTTGGCAAGCGAACGCTCACAAACATGCTCAAGGCCAGGGCTGCCGCGACGGGACGCTCTGCAGTGTCATCTTTACCTCCGCTGCTAAAGCGCAGCAATGGACGTGTGCCGCGAACGCTTCCGAGCGCACAGCAGCAGCAGCACCTGCGCCACCAGCGGCACCAGCATGGGCTGCTCCGCAGCACCACAGTGGCCCACGCATCGAACAAGGTGGGTGGGCGGCTAGCATTTGAGCCACCAGCCACACAACGCATGTTGCGCTGCAGCAGACGCGTGGCATAGCAAGCCTGCGCTCTGTGTCCCACCTGCTGCCGCCCTCCACCTCTTGCCCGCACACAGGACGACGAGGCTTTGGACCGCATCAAGCAGGCGGCCGACGGCGGCGACATCTGGAGCAGCGAGATCATAGCCATAGTGCTTAAGGTGCGCAGGATACTGGCCTGGCAAGCACGTCGGTCGCGAGTTCGTGGTGCCTGGGCATTGGAATGCCCCAGCGCAGGGTCCGATCGGCGGATCTGGGCGATCGTTGCCACGTGGAGCACACGTCACCCACGCAGCAGCTTACATAGAGATAGCCGCGTGTTCTGCATACGTGCCCTTAGAAGCCTTGAGCCGCGCCTGATGTCGCAGCCCGCCCCAAACCTTGCGTTGTGTGCAATCCCACGTCACCTTGCGCGGCCGCCATCCTGGCCCCTGGTCACGTCCGCTTCCCGGCTGCCAGGTGGGGCTGGTGGCGCTGTTTGTCACGGTGACCATCGTCTTGCTGGATGCTGCGCAACCGATTGTGCAGACCACCATTGATCGGTTCCCAAAGCCCTGATGGATAAGTATGTTTCAGTGCCGGTTTTTTCGCGTTGTGGTGGTGATGTCGGACCTCGGAACTGCTTTATAAACCTCAAAAGCCTTTCAGAAAGTAACATGGTGGCCAGGATGGTGCGCCATGCGGACTGTGTTCTGTATTTCGGAGCCACGGTTGGCCAGCCACCAGGTATTGAGGGTGGCGGCGGCGCCCATCATCACAGCACCATAGCCATGAGAGTGAAAGCAAAATGCCCGCCTTGTGAAGTATAAAATGTAATGTTTGTTACAGCAGCAGCCAACAGACGCACACAGAAGAATATGGTGCCGGCGACCAGAGCGCGCCGCGTACACACTGGAAGTGGTGGTGGTCACATGCGAATGGGATGAGGACCATGCACTTCCTACACGCCATCTAACAACAAGGGGCGATAATAAATCAACACACCAGAAACACAGGGCGATACCTGCGCTGCCTGCCCGTCTGCCTCGAACCGGGCGGGCTCACCAACACCAACACCAGAACTCAAACACCGACGCGAAAGAGCGGGGGAACGGCCAATCTGTCCGAAACTTTCTGTGTGTATGCTTGGACAGACAGAACAGAGAGTGCAAAGTCAATGGGAAAATTGATGCCGCGCAACAGTGTAAGAGCAGGCGCTTGCGGCTGTGGTGCTCCTTCGCGCCTGGACTCAGGCCCTGACATGCAAGCGCTGCTTGGAGCTGCGCAGGGCACGACATCCAAACTGTGTCAGGATATCAGGGTAAGAGAGGCGCGGGATGCGGAGCTGCTATCACTGCTGTGGTGCATATGGTACCGGCTATGGTCCGTCACAGGAATTTGGCACCGAGATGACCGCGAGGCCAAGGCGCCCTTTTGCAGGGCCCCATCGAAGCGTCATGTGGAGACAGATGCGTTGTTTGCAATTCCACCACCATTGTTCTGTGCCATGGCTGCACCATTTGCCCTTCATGGCGCCAGCAGGGCTGAAAGTATCGGGCAGGGCGCCCAAAACATTGACGGCTGGGATAGCCACAGCAGCGCCCACGCCCCAGCCAGCACCAAGGGAGCTGCCGCTGCGGCCTGGCTGCATGCCACTGCGGCCTTCGCATGCGGCAACATGTTGATCAGGCACTGCTGACGACGTAGAGCCCGCGCCACCGTGTCCTGTCTGGAGAAGCAGCGCCGTGCGCTCTGCCAACTGGTGATCGAGTGGCCGAGGCCCCGGCGCTGACTAGCTGGCCTCCCCAAGTCGCCACGCACGAGCCCGCTGCACAGCTGCCTTCGCCTCCGTAGGGCAGGAAAAGTTACAGTTCTACGCTGGTGTTCTATGGCATGGAAGAGCCTTCACAAATGCTTGCTGCCCCGCTGCTGTGTTCGTCCCGGCCACAAGCAAACTTGCGCAACAGAAGAAACGGGCGAGAAGGGGTACAATAGGGTCGACAATGTAGAATGTTGTGAAATCTGCTCGAGCCGGAGCACCAACTCCACGGGAGAAACAGTAGGCAGGCTGCGCTCTCTGCTGGTGGGAGAGTTCCCGACTCTGACACCTGCATTTGAGGCGAGCCAGGCGCTGCGCTGATGCACATCACATGAACACCAGCATACTTTCGTTGTAAGATTGGCTACTGTGTGATCCCACCATTATTCTTGACTGCACTCCACCTGTGTGCCCTCCGCATGGGTTGCCACCGCCGGCAGCTGCCCGTTTGACGCCAGCGCAGTCAGCGCAGGGCCAAGTGCGCACCCCCAGCATGCGCCTGCCCACCTTGCTATTGGCACTGGGCCCTGGTTCCTGGGGATGGGTGGTTGGGCACATTACATTCAGACGCGGTCCACTCAAACAACTCTCTCCACCCCATCATCTCCTGCAGCTGTTCACACAATTTGAACTGTAGCTGTCCCCCCTCACGTGCTGCCCACCCTCACGCTGTGCCACTTGATAGCCCGATCAATTTTGATGTCTTCAAATACATATCTGTACTCACACACAATATGACGCACATCATCCTTTGGGAGTGCTTGACAACCAAATAACCATAGCCAAAAACAACGCGGCTGCGCCACGCGCCATGCCAAAGGTTGACAGGGCAAAGGCAGCAGCAAACCCGCAATGGGCACCCACAGTGGCGGTTGTGCCGACGCAGCCGCCCTCAGCCCAGCCCTGAAGAGCAGAGAGCTGAACAGCGCCTGCATGCACCGACTCGGCAGGCACATTTCGCCCGCCGCCAACCTCACCCAATGGGCGAAGGCCAAACCAATCGACCGCGTGTCAAGGCGTGTGCAGGCCAAGATAGGATTTGATGAAATCGTAGGTAGTGAACCCGATGGCTGTCGAGGGCACCACCTTGAGGAAGTTGAGGTGGAGCCCGCGGAACAGGCCGCGCGGCCCGCTCTCCTGCAGGATGTGGCGTGCCGTCTCCATCATGCGCGGCGCGCGGTGGTGCTGCCCCGCCGGCGCGGCGCCGGCGGGGCCCGCCTGCTGCAGCTCGAGCCCCGCCACCTGCATCTGGCGGCGGATGACGTCGAGCGGGTACGTCGCCGTCTGCGCCACGACGCCCGACACGCCGCCCGCCAGCAGCATCACGCCCACGGGCAGCCGCTCCCCCGTCGGCGCGCCGCCGCCGCCGCCGCCCCTGCCGCCTGCCGCCGCGGCCGCATCCTGCTCCCAGTCTCTATACCAGTCTTTCATGCAAGCATACAGGTAAAACTTCAGCCCTGCATAGGGCAGGATGCCCAACAACGTCGGCGCCGCGCCACGGTACAATCCACGGACACCCTCCTCCCGCAGGCTTCGCCGCAGCACCGCGCGAATGCTGCTGCTGCTGCTGCTGCTGCTGCTGCTGCTGCTGCTGCTGCTGCTGCTGCTGCTGCTGTTGCTGCTGCTGCTGCCGCCGCTGCTGCTGCTGCTACTGCCGCCAGCGACGCCCGGGGGCGCGTCTGTGGTGTATGCAAGCTGTGTGCGCACCAGATCCAGGGGGTACGTCGCCAGCACCGCCACCGCTCCAGACGCTGCGCCGGCAAGCAGGTCCCACACGGGATCTGTCCGGCCCGAGCTGCGCCCACCACCGCTGCCGCCACCACCCTCACTGCTGCTGCTGCCGTCGCCGCTATCGCCGTTGCTGGTGCTGCCGGCATCGCTCCTCTTGGAGCCGTCCGTGCCGCTGTTTGTGGTGGTGTTGATGGTGGTGCTGCTGCCGCTGCTGTTGTTGTTGTTGCTGCTGCTGCTGCTGCTGCTGCTGCTGCTGCTGCTGCTGCTGCTGTCCCCAACTCTCTCCAGCAGCAGACGGCGGAAGTACTCGTAGCTGGCGAAGTGGCAGGCAGCATAGGGCACTATTCGCAGAACACTGGCCAGGTTGCCCCTGCATAAAAGGCGCACCAGCGGACCAGGCAGCACGTAGACGGGCGGCACTGATAGGGTTCACATACGCAGGGATTGTGCGGCCAGCCGTGCTGGTCCACTCGGCTGGGCCTGCTCGTACCGCAAACCCGGGCTTGCCCCGCCCCAAAACAGAGCTGCGCACTTGAAAAGGCCTCGGGTGTGCTCGGTCTCCCACATGAACCTGAGGGTGCCGCCGAGAGAGGACGCCTGCGGCCCGCGCGTCTGCAATGCCAAAGTGGGACAGCACACGCCAAACGCGCGGGGAGGCGCGAACGAATTGTGCGGGCCGTCAGCGCTGCTTGCAAGGGAGGGCGTGTTGCTGCATCCGCCAGGCCCAGGCCACTGCCACCACCACTGTGTCGCGCGCATGCTCGCACACGAGCGGGGCTGCCATGCTGCTGTCAGAGGCTGCAACTGCACGTGGTGCCCAGCAGCGCCCTTTCTTCCCGGCCGGACCTGCATGAGGATCTTGGCGCGTTCCAAGGGGGCGACGCATGTCTTGGACAGGCCGCCCGCCACGCCGCCCGCGATGAGCTCCTGAGGTGGGGAGCGGGCCGCCAGCAGGTGCCCGTGTGCGTGGTGTCCGCGTGTGAGCGCGAGAGCTGGTGTGTGCGCTTGCGTGTGTGCGGGCCCGGCTGGTGGGTGCGGGCCCGCGCGCGCGCGCGCGTGTGTGGGGGGGAACAGAAAGGGAGAGAGTGTGTGTGTTGGCGTGTGAGTGTGTGGGGTGGGGCGTATGCACGCAGTGCGCATGCTTGCGTGTATGAATTTTCAAGCGAGCAATTCAGCTCCAGCAGTTGACCGACGCCAGCGACCCCAGACGGGTGTACACCTCGCAACTTCAAGTCATTGCTGCTTGAGCTCCATACGCAGAGCGAGTAGGTCGGCCGGGAGCCATTGCGAACCGCTGCAGCATCGTACGCACCCGTGTAAATGACGGCAGGGTTTGCAGCATATCCTGCAGCATCCATGTCTCTAGGGGCTCCTCCTCGTCGCTCATTGCCACCGAGCCGGCAGCGCGCTCGCCGCCCCTGTGCTGTTTCGCAACTCCCTGTTGCTGTGCACAAAACTGCGGGTTCGCACAGTCGTGGTCACGAGCTTCACGTCTTAGAATACAATCACAACCTAGGTGCGAGTTGGGTGCAGCGTCACCCAGATCCCGATTCGACAAACTATGCTGGCTGCCTCACAGATATCTTTATGTCAGCGGTACCGTGTCGTATGGTCGTGAGCTACGGTACATTGTGTTGTCAGCGACATTGCCCGGACACTTTGTCCACAGCATGTGCGCTCTAGTGCGCAGCAGCCAAACCAGCTGTGACAGGAGAGCCAAAGCGAGCGGCGCCACCTGAATACCACCTGCCGAGCGCATCGCAAGTACATCTGAGGCCGTATCCCCACCTGTTTGCTTCAGACTAGGCTGTCCTTGCCTGTCACCTGGAGGGATGCCAATTCTTCAGGGGCAAGGCCACAAGCCCCTGATGAAACATTCGCACATCGCTAGACCCACAGTCTCAACACCTTTCAGGGCTTTCGTGGGGTCCAACCCTAAGTTTTACGCATAATGATGCCATCCAGAAAGCAGCACAATCCGTCCACACAGGGAATGTCAGCACAATGAAGTGAGTACACATGGTTATGTTCCTGGCGCGTAATGCACAGAAAGCTGTGACCCGTCCACCAAGGCTTTCCAGCAGGAACCAGTCCCGGATCCAACACTTTTCATCCCCTTGTTCAAACGTACCACAGATGCCAGTTTGTCTATATTCGCCACACCCTCAAGATATAACATGAACTGCGCACGGTGCAAGCCACGTGAATGCCGCGTTGTGTAAAAACAGCACTGCACGACTGCCAGCCTGGCTTCCCATCCCTGAGGGAGACAGGACAATCAGCATGTAGAACACCAGGAGCTGAGCTTTTAAAGAGCTGGGCCCCTTAAAACCACATATTTTCAACAGCTCACCCTCCGTGCCCGCTTCATCCCCCCCTCCTGAGCCCGTCACCACCCCAGCTTCGACCATGAGGAATCAAGTGACATTGCCCCAGCTGCTGCACACGCGTGCTTGCCCTGCACACTGTTTACCACAGCTCATCCCATCCCCATACGCCCCGTCAATCTGCCATACTCTTGAAGCAAAATCGCAACGCACACGTTGCCCCTATCTCGTATCGTGACCAGCCCCAGGAGAGCTTACTTGCGTCGCCGTACATACAAAAGCAGAGTTACAGCAACGTTTTTGCAACGACTGCGCAATGTGTGGTGCGCCCTTCAAATGGCATTGGCACATCCACCCAAAGCCGCTCCCACTGCACGCGCGCATACGGCGGCCTGCGAGCATGCAGGGGGCCGCAAGTCTGGCAACACGCGCGCTCAAAAGGTCCGTTGCTTGCTTCCGCGGCTGACCAAGCCGGCGGGCCGGTCCCGCCGGCCGCAATTCCCAACGATGGGCCTTGAAGCCCGCTCCCAGACACTGCTGCGACATCCCCAAGCACGCCACCTAGTAAGTGATGGAAATGTTGTGCCGAGGGTCGAGCAACCCCGCAAGGCGTTGAAAGCCGTGTCAAACCTAAATAGCGAAATCGGGCCTGACAACCCTCCCCCAGCAGTGCTGACCCACTGCCTGGGGTGACTGCAAATCAGTGTTGCGGAAGTGCTGCGAAAGTTCAAAGGTCGGGGTCGATCGCCCTTGCACGCGATAGACAACACCTCGACACCAGGCTGGCTGACCCAAGCAGCACGGGCACCCTGCGTGCGAGTCGGCACGTGCAGCACCCAGCTGCTCGCAATCTCCCCTGTTTGCGGCGCCATGTTCTGTTGGAGGCAGCACGCTGCCTGTGCAGGCATGGGACACGTCGCGATGGCATACTGCACCACTTCCCCTCCCTCAGACAGAGCCGTCGTCGGCTCGTCGCCGTGGGCCGACCCCGCCGCCGGCGCGTTGCTTTGCGGACTGGCGGGGATGCAGCCCTGGCAGGATGTGCAGCGAGCCACGCAAAAAGGGGTCCCAAGCGCTGGCCGTCCGCAGGTCACGGCCCACACGTTGCAAGCCCAAAGGCCCGTTATTGCGAGGCGCGCAATAATAGGATTTGCGTGCCTGTGTACCCGAGCTGGGGCTCGGTCAAAGCTATGATGCCAAGGGTGTCCCACCGGCGCCCGGCTGAGGCAGCATGATGACTCATGTACACATAAGCGAGCAAGGTGTGTGTAGGCAATGTGTGCGCTCAAGCGCACAGGGCGGGGGTGTAACGCACGAAGAGGAGGGGTTGCTGGGCGCCAAACTCTGGGAAAGCACGCGCGCAGGCACGTTTGTAGGGGAATGCAGCGGGGCCAAGCGGGGGGCGGCTTGGGGAGCAAGAAGCGTGCACGATGCAGTGTGCGGCACATCAAAGCACCGCTGCGGGCGGGCGCCAACGAACGAAAGTATATGAGAAAGGCAGCAGGATTCGTCGGGTTGGTGTGGGTGGAAGCGTCGCGGTGGGCTGGTGCCCCGCCGGCTTGGGCGTTGGCCGGGAGGCATGGGCAAGCAAATGCTGCGCGTTGCCAGCCAATGCGTGCAGTCAGCGCAAACACTGAACGCGTGCGTGCCGCCTCGCCGCACGCTGCACCACAACACGCAGCCTGGCAGCAGCGCGATAAAGGGCGCCGCGCACGAACGGAGCCGGTGCCAAGTGCCAATGCAGTATTAATGCCTGCACACCAAGCACCAACAGAGCGGCTTTCACACGCAAAGCAAGGCCTGCGAAGGACCACCGCCGGCAAGGCGGCTGGACACGACCAGACAGCGCGCGACGACGAGGCGCGCAGTCAGACCTGTGCAATGCGCCTGGGTGCGCGGGGCGGCGCTGTGCGCCCGGCCAATGCTCGCCTTGGCGGGGCCGCAGCTGCGCCGGGCGCCCGGCACAGGCAGGTCACAATGCACGGGGGACAACAACACACACCTCTTCGACACAGCTTCGACGAACCGGAAGCTCCTGAATTGCGGCGATTCAACGACGCCGCAAATACCGTGAAAGCACGGCGGCACGTGTACCGGCCTACTTAAGCAGCACAGGCAGACTGCGGCAGGTTTTGCAACGAATAGCGCAAAGGGATCGCGCGTGTCGCAAGGGCGCTGGGAGGCCTCCTCCAGGCGCGCCAGGGAATCGTGAACACCCAAGGGCGCCCGCCCGCCCGCCGACGCAGGCGGGGCAGGCGGCGCTCGTGCGCCGCCCACAAGGGTGAGCTGAACAGAGAGGGGGAAGATTCTGCACTCTCGCTCTCTCGTCCTCCCTACGACGATTTTGACGCAAACGCTCTCTCTGGCACACGCAAGTGCAAAGTTCTCAGCGGGGCTCCGCGCCAGAACAGCGGCCGCGCCGCCTCACCCCCTCGGCAGGGCGAGTTGCACGCAGCCGCCGGCGCCGCCTCAAGCCTCCGCGCTGCGCAAAAAAACGCACTGCATCGCACCCCCACGCGCCCCCCGCGGCGGCCTGGGAGCCGCCGCGCGGGGGCCGCGAACACATCCCCAACCCCGCACTCAGTCAGGGCCGCCGCCGCCGGCTGGGGCCGGCGGGCCGTCGCCCTCGGTCGGCGCCGCGCGGGGCGCAGGTTTTAGTCGTTGGCGGGCTTCGCGTACTGCACTATGATGCCCGCCCGATCCTTCATGAGTTCGGGGATCTCGGCCCCGTCCATCCACACGATGGCGCGCGCAGCCTCCGCCGGCGTCGCAAAGTCGACAAAGCCGTACTCGCGGCTGCGCCACTTGTCCTTGGGCTTGTGCATCTTGCGCGAGTTGTACATAATCTGCGGGCCGGGGCCGGGGGCAGGGCCAGTGCGCGGGGGCCGGGGTGAGGCGGGGCGCGCGCAAAGGGGGGCGGGACGGGGGCGAGGGCGCCGAGGCGGCGCAAGGGCGTCTCCCATGCAGCTTGCCAAGGCGCGGGCGGCCAGCCGCGCCTCTGCCCCGCTGGTGATGGGCGCCGCTGTTGCGGCGGCCATGGGGACAACGTGTGCGTCGAAGCCCGCACCTTGACGCCGGTGATGGTGCCGAATCGGTTGAACCACGCGTGCAGGTCCTCCTCGCTGACCCACCAGCCAATGTTGCCGACAAACAGCTTGTTGCTGGGCTCACTGCTGATGTTGCACGCGCCGCTCGCGCTGCGCCGCGCCTCCGCGGCGGCGCCGGCGCCGGCGCCGCCCCACGTGTCGTCGCCCGCGTCGGGCAGTGCGTAGGGAAACGCCGCATCGGCGTCCGCCACGCCGGCGGGCGCGGCGGGCGCGGCCGCGGACGCGGCCGCGGGCGCTGCGGCGAGTGCCTGCATGCGGCGCTGGCGGCGCTCCTCGCGCAGGCGCTCGCCCTCGAGCGTGCGGCGCGACTCGAGCCACGCGGCCAGGCCCTCCAGCCCGGCCAGGGGGTCGGCGGGGTCGCTGGGCCTGCGCCGCAGCTCCCACTTGGCGTCCCCGCACACCTTGCTGGCGGGCGACGGCACCGGCAGCAGCTGCACCTGCACCTGCGCCGCCGCGCCGGCGCCCGCGCCCGCGCCGTTCGTGGGGCGCGGCGCGCACGGCGCGGCGC